ATGGTGTGAAACAGGGGTACAGAGCCCTTTTGGAGAAGGTGTGCAGCTCTATGCAATTCTATGCAAAGTTTAGTCCTTTAATTTGCATACGTTCTTCACACATCTGGGCCAGCAACTAACATACTTTTGTAATATGTTATATTATAACCTATTAATTAGTTAATCAACTAATCAAACTATTATGCCTTTCTTCTTCCTTCACATCACTGAATTTTCTGAAGTTTTTTTTTTCTTTTATTATGTTGCGATACAATACAAGCCCATCGCCCCCTACGCTTTCTGTAGTGTATTACAATCTGTCAAAATGACTGTGTATCAAACATTATAGTTTTTTAGGTAGATAACATATTCACATAACAATTTCAGCAGCAGCAGATAAATCCTTTCCATATAGAATCCAATGCAGGTGCATTCTATAGAGCCCTTAATATACATGCTTTTTAGCTTTGACTGATTTATGGAAGATCTTTAATAGAAATCACACAAATAATACTGAGTAACTTAATATGTTTTGGTATTAAACTTTGAAAGTTTGTTAGATCCTGCCAAGGTGTATTGCTGTTTCTTCTATAAATGGCAAGCACTGATGTGGCTAATACTGTCCCCTGCTGGAGAAACTTCAGACTGCTGGACGTGAGTTCCTAGTCCAAGTGCTTTGCATATTAAAACAAGGCATTTTCTGTGGTTATTCTAGAGGCAATATGGAATTCAGGTGTTAGAGATGCCTTTAGTAGACCTTGAAGTATTTTATTTGTATAAGCTGTTTAAAATGAAATCAGTCCCCTAGTTGTCTCAGTTCTTTTTTCAAACATTGCGACTATCGCCTTTGAGGCATCGTCAGCATTATTACATTCATTCAACAGTATAAATAAAACAGCAAATTATATATAAAGCACTTTTTTTGGTTTTCAGGTTTAGTTTTTTGGCCAAGTTTGTTCTGAATTTCAGTTTCTGTAAAGAATTTACATTTCAGTGCATGCTTACTCATGACATTGTGCTACATACTGAGTTCTAGCAAAAAGTATAGATGTGCTGCACAAAAAAAAATAAATAAATAAATAAATGCAGGTGGACAATTGTGCAGTAGATCTGTGCAAAGGAGCCAATGCAGCCAACTGATGCATTTCAACCCTAACATGTTAATCAATGCAGCCTTTTATCTGAGGCTTGTGTCAAGTAGTAGCAGCACAAGTTTGGTTTCACTTTGTTTTTTGGGGTTCAGTGGGGCCTGATGATTGGTTGGTGGGGCACTGCCCCATTAAATGTCTTCCTGATAGTCTGCAACAGTTATTGAATGTTGTCCTGTAAGACATACTCTCCACAAATTTGTGCACTTAATGAGACATTATTCATCAACAGTCCATCTACTGCATCCCACAGCAGTGTCCTAAATTTTGGGCCTAAACCTTGTGAGCACAGCCTTACAAGGCCTTACAAGAACAGCATAAGATGACTCAGAACTTGTGCTAACTACTAGTGGGTGGCAGTGGCGATGATGCTGAAAGTGAACTTATTGATAGAAGTGCTGACGGATCCAAACAGAATGTGGTCACTTTCTTATACTTATCATATATCCTTGCATTCGACACATTAACATAAATGATACCGCTCAGAATTGACCCTCACCCCGTACAGTGTGAAATGCTCGTAAGGCTTGTTAGACTGCAGTTATCGCCCACTTTGCAGCTGCTTTTAGCTAAAGAAAGGTTGGAGACTCTTGACCAATTTAGCCAGTTCCAAATCCTTCAACTGAGACTTTGAAAGGAGGAAAAAGCAAATTCGCTGAATCTAGCAGTTCTCAAGTGTCAGTCTGTGATGTAACTCTTCCACTGCTTTATGCCACCTCAGAACAGCGGCGAACTGCAGCACGGAGAGGATTATGGTAATAAGCGCTCCCAGCGCCAGGCTATACACATCCCTCAGGGAGACTCAGCATAACCCCCACCGCAACAGCCCGTTTGGCAGAAAAACTCTCCCCAGTCCCCGCCGCTTAATGAGTACTGAGCAGTAAATTCAGGCCCGTGTGTGTCAGGCCTGATCCACAGTGGAGGCTTGGTGTCAAACAGTGGCCGCTATTTATAAATTGTTTCCCCCCTGTCAACTGGGCTGAGTAGATTTAAGGCAGTCTGGTGCCAGTCTTCAGGTTGCATTCCCCTCCTCTGTCCATCCTCGGGCACAAGGAGATTGAGGTAAACGTTGAGTGTTTACTCTCCATAGCCATTTAGTTAGCAATTCAGGTTCCTGTTGGCTTTAAATCTGTCATCCTTTAAGCTAAAATCTGTTATTACTTCGAGGCTTCAGTGGCAAACCTTGACTTTTACACCTAAGCCTTCAGCTCTGGCCGGAAAAGGCAAACTTTGGTCAGAAAAGCAGGAAAACAACACCTCTACACTAAAGCTAATACTGCTAGCGCACACATGGGATTCTAGTAGTATGTGAGCGCTAAGCTAACAGTGATTCGTATGAACTTTTTTGGCTGTTTTAGATTAAAATCAGACACTTGAAACTTGTGAAAGACATTACATGTTTTATTTTCAGCTTGTTACAGATATTAACGGCTCAGTAAAGAGCTCTAGCATAGACTTACTGTTGTTTTCCATGTCAATTGGTGAGGCTACCAATTGTGACATGACCTTTCTTTCTCAAAAACTTGGTCCCACCCTTTAAAAATCAAAAATTGGTTGTTTCCACGGTTCTTTATTATGTTAGTGGTTGTTCTGACATGTTAGGCCTTCAGTCCAGCACCTGAAGTCCTAACCAATGAGAGTGCTTGCTTGGCTGTGTCTAACTTGATACAGTGAAGAAAAAGTCCTGACTGGATAATTTTTCACTGGGCAAAATTTTAAGCCCTTTGTTTCAGCCAATAACTGTGCACCAACAGTGTAACAACAGAAAAACCCTTTTTGGTGCTATATAGAACCCTTTTCAACAAGATTCTATATAGAACCATCAACAGCACATTCTCCATCAATCTGAAGAACACTGTTATGATATAAAGAACTCTTTAATCATGAAAAGGCTTCTTTGAGCGTTCATGGTTCTATACTTGACCATTTTCTTTCTTAAAGAACCCTTGAAGGACCATCTTTTAAAGATCGTAACACTACAGTAGTTGCACGGTTTGAATATAAATATGCTGATTATATTAAATGAAGAGGAACCAAAAATTCCAGACATTATTTTTTTTATTTTAGAGAAACCATCAAGCCTTCTTTGAAGGCCTTCGAAGACGCTGAGGGTTCCCCACTGCAAGGCTTCATTTTCTGAAGTTTGTAACTCCAAACGTTGACCACCCCATGGAACTGAGTTCAGGTTGAGGCTGATTTCTGAAAATTTTCACAATCTTGTTTCTGTCTGTCAGTGGCTCATAAGACCGTGAGTCTGGAAAGTTGTGAATATCTTTACTACGGTACTGTCACCTGCGTCCATCGGCCTGTCCAGCCTTTCTGAAATCGATGCATTATTCAGCAGAGATGGCAGGATAATCAGTGCTAGCGCTTTTGTATGCGCCATCCTTTATAGCCCTCTTTTTTTGGAGGGATGGGGGCTCTCCAGGGAGCCATTCATGGGAAACGGCCCGGGACCTGTCTCGGGTGCAGATGATAGATCGAAGGGAAAGTTGTGAATTCATAAATACTAAGGGGAAGATATGATTAACCCTTTAAGGTTGCCATTAACACCAGCTTTACCAAATTAATGGTAGCTTCTCACTCTAAGTTCATTATTTCTCAGTATAGCTTATGAAAACTCACGGAAAAACAATGACCATCCTTTTCATTTTTACAATGTCATTTCTTGCTAGTAAAACAAACTGAGAAAGTTGTTAGTGCAGGCTTAAACCTGCTGACAAAAATATTAGTCACCTTGCGTGTTTAAGGTGGTGGTAAATTCAGGTTCCTGCAGATGGCGCTGCATGAGGATGAACTGGCTATTAATACCTGTGGGGTGTGTGACGGGATTCATAGATTAAGAAAAGGTGGTACAGCGCAGTGAATGTCTCATTCGATGTGTGGAAAATGGGTCGCAAAGCAGATGTCAATGACTGGCCACAGTCATTGTGAAGGAAGTAGCTGAATTTGCAGGTGTATTGAAGCGTACAGGCATACGGGTCGACCAGCAGTGGCTAAAATCCCAGTCTACAGGAAATTCTCGTCAGAATTGTGTCCAAAAGACGAAACAGATGGACAGGGACCGTCGGCATGTTTGATGGCTTGTGTTTATAAGTTGCTTCGCTTCCAGGAAAGAATTGCTTCCAGAAGTGAATGCAGGTTCTTCACAACCAATTTCTGAAAGAACACTTGGCAGGGAACTGCATACCATGAACATATGGAGCAGAGTGACACGCAAGAGGCCTTTACTCACTTCTGCTCACAGAGTTGCCCGGTTACAGTGGGCGAAGAGACACAAAAACTGGACTGTTCATGAATGGAAATGTGTTATCTGGTCAGATGAATCTCGTTTCTGCCGAGTAAGATGCCAGGGAGGGCACCCACGAAATCTGGCCGAACTGCACAATTCTTTAATGCAAGAGTGGCTGAACATAGATAAAGCCAGTAATATGCTATTAATGGACACTTTTCCTGAAATGAAACAAATAAAAGATTGTTTCTGACCGCTGTAGATCTCTTAAACCCTTCAGAAAATGAGCATCCTAAAGCTGCTTATGAAAATGCATGAGGACGCAATCATTTATTCAGTGTTTTAGAAATCCGTGCTTACTTGGGGTTTGATGGGAGAGTGCCGGGAATACCAACGAGGCGATTGTAATAACCCCCCACTCCCCAGATGTATGTGTTCCAGAGCTAGCAGTTTGGACCAGGATAATCACTTGTTAGATAAAGGAATTCTGCCTGGCTGTGTGAGAGATGTGTGTGCGTCGCATGGAAAATGAAACAGCTGACTAGAAGGACTTTGAAGACACATTATGCTGAATATCTGCCCCAGAGAAGCATTTAGAACTTGTATTAATGATCTTCCCCCATTTATTCTCTCTTCTCCAGGTACTTGGGTGACATTTGGAGGTCAGATTTCTGACGAGGTAAGACCGAGCACTTGTTTTTCTCTTAGAAATGTTCTATGCTGCATTTCCCAAAAGCATGTTGTCATCAAAACAAGCATCGTTATGCTAAAAGGCTTTAGGGAAACCAAGCTCTGAGTAAGAATCTCAGCTTTCAGAGAGTTCTCACTCACTTTGGGAGAACAGCTCATAGTTTAACAAAGTCCCTCCGAGGTTCCTGTAAGTGATTTGTTTGTTGTTTGTAATCTTTGCTCTGTTCCCAAAGGGCTTTGACTTTGAATTCAGATCTAACAGTGTAGCCAGCAGGATTAGCTCAGAATGAGTGAAAAAAGGGCCAAAGTCATTGAGTCTTTCTTGCATGATGGTGTGGGAAAGGGACCTTCTAAACCTTCGTCCACTTGTTTTGAGCTTTCTAAGAATCCTGAAGGTTAAATTCATGAAATCTGAAGACAAAAAAGCTGCTGGTGTTCTCAGAACAACACTGAGGCCACTCCGGAATCCAGGCTGCAATGTCAATGAATGTGTTTGGGATTATGTTGACCAGGAGAAAATGCAACCAACTTCTATGACTGAACTTGGGAGTGTGTAACAACATTTCTTTGAAAAACTGAAAGTGTCTTGTGAAAGAATGGAAGCTGTGATGAAGGACACGTTGCATAAATAAAGGGTGGCCATTGCAACTTTACAGGGCAAGGAAAAACGTTATTAACTTTTAATGGAAGAAAGTGAATAAATGATGTTTTCCGAGTATTTTTGGATCATTTCTGTTGGTCTGTTCATCATGAAGTTCTGGGCCACAGGCCTTTTTAAATTATGCCAAAAATAACAATAATTTATACATATTGTAGATTAATATTGAAGACATCAAAACTATGAAAGAACACATATGAAACTATGCAGTAAACAAAGAAGTGTTCAACAAATCATAACATGTTTAATACTTTAGATTTTTCAAAGTAGCCACCTTTTGCTTTGATGACAGCTTTGCACACTCTTGGCATTCTCTCAATCAGCTTCATGAATCACCTGGAGTGGTTTTCAATGAACAGTTGCGCCTTGTCAGGAGTTAATTTGTGGAACTGCTTGTCTTCTTAATGTGTTTGAGACCATCAGTTGTGTTGTGCAGAGGTAGGGTTTGTACACAGTTCTATTAAGTGAATGGCCCTAATCGACTATTTTTCTAATCCATATTTAAAAAATTGCAAGAACTTTCAATGTATCCTCATGAAAACCATCAAACGCTAAGGCTCTCATGAGGACCACCCCAGGAAAAGAAGACCAAGAGTTACCTCTGCTGCAAAGGATAAGTTCATTGGAGTTACCAGCCTCAGATACCACAAATTAACAGCACCTCAGATTAGAGCGCATATAAATGCTTTCCAGAGTTCAAGTAGCAGACACATCTCAACATCAACTGTTCTGAGGAGACTGCGTGAATCAGGCCTTGGTGGTCGAATTGCTCCAAAGAAGCCACTACTGAGAAAGAATAACAAGATAAAAAGACATGCTTGGGCTGAAAAATACAAGGAATGGGAATTAGGCCAATGAAAATCTGTACTTTGGTCTGATGAGTCGAAATTTGGTTCCACCTGCCTGTCTTTGTGCGACGCAGAAAAGGTGAGCAGATGGTTTTAACATGTGTGGTCATACATATAAAGGGATTGCACAACTCCAGATTTTTAAAAGTTGACAGTTATGTGTCAAAGGTTGAGTCAACATTGACTAATCGCTGATGATGTCATGAATAAAACCACATAAAACCCTTGACAAAGCCAAACTCCACAGGACAGTAGAGCATGATGTGCCCTTTCCAGTGAGCGCTGGATTGCATTGCTAGGCCTCAGGAAAACCGGAGATATGAACGCTGGAATCTTGCAAATTTGTATCCGACTTGGGCGCACCAAGGTCGCCTTGCCAAGACCCTCGCCTGTAGTGGAGAAATTTCAAGCATCATAACTCAACAAAAATAGAACCTCACCTGTTGTCTTCGCTGAGGTGTCCATGTTGTTATTATAATAATCAAGTGTTGATATCAAGATTAAAGCGTCATCATCAAGCAGTACAGTTGATCTGTAAAGACAACAGTGTGTATATATGTAACATCCATTCCCTCTTTCTCCTGGTCTTTGTGTTTTTGCCTTTTTCTTGGTTTCCCAGTGCTGTGTGTTTTTGTTTATCTGCCATGTGCTTTTGTTTTCTTTTGACATGTGCTTTTGTTGTCATGTTGGCTCCTCCCCTGTCCTGCCCTGTCTTCACCTGTTCTTTGTCTCCCTGCCCCTCCCTCCTATTGGCCTCAGGTGTTCTGGTTTACTTTGTTCATGGATTTATCTGTTCCACTCACTTCTGGCTCTGTGTTTTTGGACTTTGAATCTCCTTTAAATAAAAGCAACTCGCACTTGCATCCTGCCTCAATGCCTCCTACGTTACTGTGTATATATATATATATATATATATATATATATATATATATATATATATATATATATAATGGATAGTGAAAGGTAGCCTATAACGTGGTCATTGAGTGGAAATACAAGGTAGGCATTTGTACATTAGTGTTCAGTGTAAACAGAAAATATTCCCATCCCTATTTTGGACACGTGATGTGGGACGGCCTTGACAGTCCTCAAAGGACGAACACGTCCCAGTAACAGCACTAATGTTTATTCATCTGTGTGGGCGTTTGAGGCAGAGGAGCTGGTAAACAGCCCCACTGCCTGCAGTGTCCTTATCTTTCTCCCTGGAGAGGTTAGAGAGGCCAAGACCTCAGAGTCAAAGCCCTCTCTTCCTCTGCCGGGGTGTCCGGTCTCCTCACTGGTTCAGTACTTAGGAAAGACATGCTGTCACGGTCGTCATCCTCTACAGTCACACACACACATACACACACCCGAGGGAGGTGCTGGATGACTCAGCGCTCTGTCCCGCGGTGAGACGGACGTCAGGCCGCTTTGTATACAAAGTGACAGCGTAGTTTGTGCTGCGGCTGTCATCATGAGTTTACTAACTGTAGGGAGTGACGAGAGACGTTAGGAGGCAGGGGACAGTGGCAGGGGCCGCGGTTAATGCTAGCAGGCGGATTAGAGTGCATAAGAATGTATGTGTGTGTGTGCTGCAGCACAGAGCTGTCAGCTCTGTAAGACTAAGAGGGGCTGACTTATATGAACATTATAAACATAGCTATAAATATTTATAAAAATGCATTATACATTATAGCCATGTTTATTATGCATTATGAATTGTTAACATAATACATTATAAGTACTGTTCATAACAAATTATAAGAGCTCATAAGTTGTATTTGTCCGCTCTAAGTAAAGTGAAGCGTACGGTACTAAAGCCTCCTCCAGTGTTCAGAGTGAGGCTTCAAGTTGAAGTATTTACTGAAGGATTTACTGAAACACTAAAACATTCACAATAAAGCACATTACAGGCTTCAAATGTCAGAGTTTAAACTAGTGCTGCCATCAGTGTTTTACCCAATGTGGGAAAGGTAATGTTCACCACCGTTAGCTTGGTATTTGTCTTTACTTTACACTCTCCAAGCTGGGACAGACTTCTTTGGCACTGACAGTATAACATGTTATTGACACTATTTATAATGCATTATATTAACAATTCATAATGTATAATAAACATAGCTATAACATGTAATTCAGTGTAATTCTTTTTTTATAAATATTTATAACCATGTTTATAATGCCTTATGAATACATTATAACATGTTATAAATGTGTTTATAGATGCTTACAAAGGTGACATTCATAGAAAGTGTTACCGAGAAATCTAACAATTGGGGAAAAATATAAGGGGGACTTCCACCGATTGTTCAAAGTCTCTGCATAATTCAGTCAGTAAGACATAAACAATGTCATTCAAAGAGTTTATTCAATTGTAATTGTTTAATTTAACCAACTAAGATTTCGTTACAGTGGTGGTGAATGGAACCAGGAGTCACCATATCTACAACATAAATATTGCCATTTTTTTAATATCCAAAATGACCAGTGAACCTACAAGTGAGGTTTTATATTTAATATGAGTGTAAAAGAAGTTTCCTTTGGGTACTTTGTAGATTTAAGGCAAAATAGGCTGAGACCTTACCTCAAAACAGTCGTAAAACAATGTCTCAGCCATCAGCTAGGGTATTTGTAACCATTATGTTACACGTGTTATAACACACTGCAAAGTAGGTTCTTCAGGTGACAGTTCAGATGTTTGGTTGCCTTCAATGCCACTGTAAACCGTTCTGAATGTTCTCCAGGATGGCACATTTCACATTGCAATTTAATTATGCAGAATTGAAAATTGGTCTGATCTTCTGCTGTTGTAGCCCATCCACCTCAAGGTTTCACATGTTGTGCATTCTGAGATGCTTTTCTGCTAACCACAGTTGTACAGAGTGGTTATCTGAGTTAGTAGCCTTTCTGTCAGCTCGACCCAGTCTGGCCATTCTCTATTGACCTCTCTCATCAACAAGGCGTTCACTGGATGTTCTTTCTGTATTGCACCATTCTGAGTGAATTCTAGAGATCAGCAATTATAGAAAGAGTCAATCCTATCCATCAGCACCAACAGTCATGTCACAGTCAAAATCACTGAGATTACATTTTTTTCCTCCATTCTGAAGCTGCTGGCCTGTGTCTGCATGATTTTATGCACTGCATTGCTGCCACATGATTGGCTGATTAGATAACCGCATGAAAGATCAGGTGTACAGGTGTTCCTAATATATATATATATATATATATATATATATATATATATATATATATATACACTATATGGTCAAAAGTATGTGGACACCCCTCCTAATTATTGAGTTTAGGTGTCTCAGCCACAGGTGGCACATAGCCTTGCAGTCTTGATAGACAAACACTGGCAGTAGAACGGGGTCGTACTGATCAGCTCAGTGACTTTACACGTGGCACTGTCATAGGATGCCACCTCTGCCACCAGTCATTTTGTGAAATTTCTGTCCTGCTAGATCTGCCCCTGTCAAATGTAAGTGCTATTATTGTGAA